GGAATTTTGACCAACTAAAGCTATTACTAGTGTTATCATTAACACTAGTAGTGTAAAAATACTTTTTTATGACATAAAATATAAAAAGAAAAAAAATTAAAGGCATTTTGCATATACTCCTATTAGTTATTTAAGAAAAATAATAATCATTAATTATTATATACCTAAATATTTATACTAATTAATATTTATACCCACATTCTCCCATGTGATTATAGTAATGGTCACCTTTTTTTAAAGTGAGATGCAATTAAATGCACTTTAATCCACAGATCAAATTTTAAACTTAATTTTTTTAAATAAATACTAACTTAAAACTGTATTTTATCTTATTAAAAAAAATTATTAATATCCATACCCCGTTAGCATTTTCCTACCACTTTCCTGCCACTCTCCTGCCACCTATTATCCACTAGCCGGTACCGCTTGATCCTCTAGCCGGACCAAACGCCCCCTAACTTAATTCCTCTTCAGGTCTTTTGAAATAATGATTCATTTTTGTAATAATTTAAAACAAATACATTACAAGTGTAAAGAATTTTAAAAATTGAGAATATAGCCTACAAGGTTGAGAATGATTCAAAAAGATATCAAGCACTTAAGTAATGTGATCAAGACTCCAATTAAAGTAACTTTAAAAGTTGAATTCATTTATAAGCGTTTGTAAGTTATATTTAAGTTTTAAGTTTTAGAGTTAAAACTTAATAAAAGTTAATTTTTTTTTTAAATGTAGTAAATTGATTTGAGAGGAGTATTTTTAGAATCATAAAAAAAAAATTAATTTTAAAGTACATAAAAATTGAAAATATCCTAATTGAAAAAAAAAAATAAAAACCTTCTAATTAAAGCCATAGGAGTTTTTTTATTTCCCAATGAAATAGTACCCATAAAACAGAACTGAGAAAAATAAAACCGAAAGAACAATCTTCTTTCTGAGTGGTAGAGATTGTGCATGTTAAACCCTTCTTTCGTTTTCTGGACCAAACAGCCCTTTCAATACCCCAAAAAAGAAAAAGGGATTTTTTTCCACCTAAAGAATCGTTTTCCACAGGAGTCCGAGAACCTGTGGAATAATAAAGTTTACCATAGGATACAAAAAGTTTGGGCCTTTAACCAAAGCTCCGTCATGTAATTTTGTGATGAATATGTAGAAGAGATATTATCCGACTCTAAATATATGAGGTATTCTGAACACTGCATTAGAAATCTGAATCAGTCTGTGATTTGGTGGCATTCAATTCTAGCTCGAGCCCCTGGCGAGATTTTTGCCATAACTCATACTCTAGATTCAACTTCCTCAGCTCCATGAGACCGCGCTCAACTGCAAACACAGGAGAAAATCATACATGAAAACTTGAAATATGAAAATATTAATGTTTCGTGTGGCATATATCAACCTTTCTGATATGGTTAGAGAAAATGAAATAAAGGAGCAGAAGTTTAAGGGGATGAAAGTTTTCATCGTAAAATAGATAAAATGGAACACCACATTTTCATCTCAACTTGAACTCAAAGAAATTATTATTTTTTTTTTTTGGAAACAGAAATTGCTGACAGAACACTAGAAAGTTATAAATAAACATATAAATTACCCATGATTGATGAAATGCTTAGAGATTTACTATCTGCAAATAACTCTATGATAAACAATTTCTTAATTAAAGAGAAAAGAGTGGACATTGGCATGGGGAACATTTGATGGGAGGGAGAGGGGCAGTTACAGAATACCTTCAACTGCATCATGTGAAGAGGAAGATCGAGAACTCTGGTTGATCCAGAACTGTAAACGCTCATCAACAATGTCAGGTTCTATGCCATGCATCTTTGCTCTTCTCCAAAAATATGTAAGCCAACCCTACATGAGTACACTAAGTTTTAAGGAAATATAGGCTCACTGGAAAATTTTTTTGATTGAATTCAAATACCCGTTTTGTCATTAGCATGACATAATCATTTCTAGCCATTTGTGAAGTTTTTAAAAGTCCTTTGCCTAACAGAATACATATGATCTGGCTTTCCTTTTCCTTTTCCATATTTTTTAAATAGAGAGCACTAAAAATTTTTTCCATTAATTGAGAATGAGTCCTATTGGAAGTGACTACATCCTGGATCTTAAACATGGAGTAGGAGGATGCTCATGTTGGGCAATTTCATATGGTATCCTATTAACGTCTCACCCAACATGTCAGAATGAGAGACGTGCTCAAAGTTGACCAATGCTGTCTTAATCAGACTATCCAAATCCTTCCACATCCCTTCACAAAACATATTAAATTAATCTATCCAAGCCTTGGTTGCATTGATTTTCTTATGTGAACCCAAAGGCCATATAGATATAAAGTAAATGACAAAGAAAACAAGTTAAATAAATAGAGTAAAAGGTTTAGCTTAAGCTTTAGTACTCCTAGAATTTCTCTTATAAGCCAACCCTAACTAAGTCTCAAAGTCATAAACCTATGTCATTTGCATAAGGCAGTACTCAAAATGACTTTTCACTAATAATCTAACATAAAGTCCTGTCATTTGAACAAGACTTCCTATACATTTTAGGCCACCATTAGAACTTGCCGTTCATCATCTATTTTCTAGAGATTCACTAGCTAGCAATGGAACATTTAAATGTTTTTGATGAAAGCCCTTTTTCTTTTTAATCAGTGAAATACAAAATTTTATGTTCTTAAAATGTTATTTAGATCTCCAGACTTAATTCCCAAGTGTCTAATGTTCTTCATCCAAGGTCTTAACCATAGGACGAGGCTGATTGAAGAATATGAAAAACTAAACTAAGTAGTATTAAAATGCTGGTACCATTTGTTACCCATAGCTTGAAGAAACGAAAATAACTATCAGAGAATCAGCATTAAGTTTTTCTCTAAATATTGTACAACAGAAAGATGCCATAGAGATAATATCTTACTTGCTTAAAACGTACATCCTCTGTCTCCTCTTGGCTCAATTCTGAAAGGAAAAAATCATTTCTTTTTAGGTGTTTATATATTGGGAACCATTGGTATTAAAATCCAGCCACCATGTGCAATAGGAGCACTAAGTAAACAAAGAATGAGTAAAGAGTAAATGTGTAAAAAACATGTCCACACACTTAAAGGTTACATGTACAACCACACCAAGTGTAAAAGGATAAACTTCTATATCTGCCACATCAAGGGTTAGAAGCAGCTGTCTAAATATAAACCTACCAAATGCTTCAAACTGACCCTCAGTTGGTAGTTTCACATCATCTGCAATGATAATTAAAATATTGTCAAGCAACCAGTGCCTTCTATAATTAAAATGTTGTCAAGCAACCAGTGCCTTCTAAAGTCTTATGATGAAAAATTCAATCATAGATATCTCTTGAACAAAATCAAATTCTCAACTGCTTTGAATAAACATATCATCACAAAGGATTATCTTTGTGACCAAAGAAATACACCAAGAGTTCAGTACAGAAGATATAAGAGGAAGGTCATAAGTTACTACTGTGGTAAAAGACAAGAAACTTCAAAAGATGATGGGTCTTAGCAGGATACCTATTGCTCTAGAAATCTCAGTTCAAGTATGATCTACCTCAGTCCTAAAGGAGCAGACATTAGGTCAAAGTTCTAGCAGGTTAGATAAGCAACTTCATTCACACCCCTCCTGCACATACTCAAATCTTTAAACATTTTAGTTTGTGTCATGCAATCTGACGTTTCAATGTGTGTACTGTGTGCAGTTTTGTATCCCTAACATTTTCAAGCTGATCTTTTTTTCGTGCAAAACTTTTCTAAGAAAGGATGAATTTATTTATTTTTAGTTATTTAATAAAAATACAATTCACATCATAATGATTGGAAAAATTTTATTGGTAAGAATTTTCCTGAAGTAATAAATACCAAATTTTATAGAATTTGAATGACGATTTTGAGCCATTGCAAGTGCAACTGCATCCTCTACCTTCAAAAAATAAAAAAAGGATTACTCATTAAAAGAACTAGATACGGAAAAAATTTTCTTTAAATATAAGAAAAAATGTTTGAGAATGCACTGAATTGTTTCCCAGCTGTGTGACTATCTGTAATTAATTTTTGATTGTTAGAGCTACAGAATAGAGATAATAATTGTAGAGAGCAAAGTATTTGCTTTTTGGGTGGTAACTAAAGTTTGTTAAAAGAATCTTTGTTCAAGCAATAGAGAAATCTAAAATTAATAGAGACAACATATTCATCATCCACTAAGTTATTGTAGGATCACTAATTACTTTCAAGCATATCTACCAGAAAGAAACAATTCCAGCCTCAACTTTTCATAGGGCTCCACATTTTGCAGGGAGAAATAAGGGACTATAGTACCAATATAATGCTAGTTAAAAATAATAGTTGACATAAGAAAAAAGTGATATAGTAACTAATCTAACTTTGACTTCCATGTAGCTCCACTTTCAAATTTTGAAACAACCTAGGTTGAAGCCTTCACTGACCTAATGATTCTCCTCAGCTAAGGTCCACTTAGCTCTCAAAAGCTGTAGTTGTTGTACTAGTTGGTCATTACATTTATATATTACTTACACTCGCTCTTGATGTGGGATTCAATCTCACCCACTTAAATGCACAATATCCTCATCAAGCCCAATAACAATCACAAGGTAGGCCCACAGGATTCTAGCACCGCTTTCCATGATTGTCAGCATTACCCTACACCTAACAAGCGTAACTGTTTGGATACTAAATACATGACCTAGCCAAACTTCCACTAGCCTCTTAACCCTTCAAACAATTTTCGTGGGCAAAAAATGAAAGTAGTGTTAGTATCATGCTATTTAATACAGTTCTAGGATTAAAAAATCCCATTTAACTTTTAAGGTAGAAAACTCTTTAGTTTAGCATTCATGGATAATAGGGAAAATTTATAGATTACAACTATTTCTTCTAAAACAAGCCATCAAAACACAATATACATTACTTTAAGTACATATTTGGCTACTTTGAGAAAAGAAGTAATCAACAAAAAAATGTCAACATGAAGAAAGTAACATGCATTTTTTTCTAAGTGGTGCAACCGCCCATCATCAGTTTTAGAGGTTTGTTTGTGGCCTTGTATTCAAATTGCAAATCACCTAAAACCAAATTGTTAAGGTTGGATGACTTAACACATTCATCACAATATAAAGGTCTAACATATTTTGGCTCTATTCCAAATGACAATAACAGAGAAAGAAGAAGAATTTCACTAACAAAATACAAAACAGTAGGATACAACATAAACCTTTAATGATGCCAGCTCTCTCAGACCTTTATCAACTATAAGCATGCTTTCAACATTTTCCTCTCCAGATGGTTCATTATTGGCTGCTCAGCATGGGAATAAAGAGAAAGGGAATAAGAAAAACTAACATTTATCATCCTTACCCCAATAGAACCCCCACTCCAACTGTAAAATGAATTTCTTTCAAAAGAAAAGTCAGGTTTCAATCCATTTTGCCGATCCTTTTCTACCACTGAGGTGCAAGCTTGAAATAATAAAACAAGCAAAAGAAAATCCATTCCAAAAGAAATCTTACATGACAATTTATCCTCTTTGGCCCTTTGTCCAGCATCTAATACAATTTCATCAGCAAGAGGTGCCATAGATGACCAATATTCAAACCTTGCTGCAGCAATATCCATGTGAACACCTGGCCAAAGGATATGGGCTCCATAAGAAATTTAAGAAGATTGCACTAAAAATCCATAAAGTAGAGATAAATGGATTTTTCTGGCCAAAAGAGAATGGATTACTTTGTTTTTTACTTGAATTGTGTTTAACCATGATATAAGCCACCATGCATCCAAAAGTAAGAGGGTCATAGCTTTCCACATATACTATGCACAAAATTCAATCTATGATAATTCTTTTAATTTTTTATGATTGCTATTGAATAGACTTCTATTGTGATTGGCATTTCAAGAGCTATATTTATGTTGGAAGCTAGCAAATTTCAGATCAAGTGAATATGTTTCACGCTTCTATTGATAACGCAAAATTTTATACTGTCTAAAAATACAATTTCTTGAACCAAATGGTTAAAAAAATGTCAGATCAACTTGAAATTTAGTGTGCATTGTCTTTATAAATGAAATATTTAATCCAGTGGTTAGTAAATGACAGCTTGCATTGGGAAGCATAATAAACTCAACTAAACTAAAGAAAACTTTGAATTTTAAAATAATCAACACTTTACCGTGCCGAAGACATAAACTCCAATAATGAGTGAGCCAGCATCTCTTTAAAATAACCTCTTCCTAAGAAAAAAAAACTGCTGATCATGTAACTATGACATAAGGGAATACAAAAATAAAATAGCATAAACACAAGTAGTACTTAGCATCAACCATCTCTTCCTGACTCAGTTTCATTCTCTGATTCAGATGCCGAAGTGATTTGACTTCACATTCAGCTTCATGGAGCTGCTCTAAAGCAGATATTGCTTCATCTCTTGCAGTCTAACTTGCAATTCAAAAAGTATAGATTAATTCGTCAAGAAATCATCAATCCATTGAGAATGTAAAGTTTCAAAGAAAAAGACAAGACACACAGGATAGAATTGTGTACCTCAACTTCTGTACGGAGGTTGTCAATTTCTTCAGAATCAGGTACACAAGAATTTTGTGCTGCAACCCGCAGAGCAGCCTGCCAGAAGGCCATGCCAAACAATATCACATGTTGTTTTTCCATTTTCAACTAACAAAAATGTACTACATAGAAATTAGCTACAGTATGATGATTACTGAAGACTACTGAAGTAGCTAGAACTGGCCACTGAAATCAATGATATAATCGACCGAGTTTATCCCCCTGATTGATTTTTTATATTTTTATGGTAAAACAGAAGAATGGAAATGAGAACTCTCTTCTTTCTCTTTCCTATTAATTCATTGAAGAGCCAAAAGACTAGCCATCAGGAACACTGAAACTTGTCTTTATTCAGAAAAGGCATAAAGAAAGCTAGTTAGCAATCGCAAATTCAGATACTTGAATTTTGAAAAGTTAAGCCTTTACGAAAGCTTAATTTTTTGAGGAATGTATTGTAAACTTTCTAGAAAAGAATCTAAACACATTAAAGTAAGAAAGATATTATAACATTAAAGAAGGGAAAGCAGTGAGAAAGACAAGATAGAAAATTAAATCCACTACTTTCTATCCTTTCTGATATGCATGCTGTTGGTATGAAAGATTCAGAATGAACCATTGAAAACACCTGCTAGCCATCTTTGGTTGCTGTATTTATTTTGTAAATATGGTAAGAAAGTTAGGAAAGAATTAATTCCAGGATAGCTAGATTAATTATTCCCTTTGATTGTGTTCTGTATTACCTCTAAGAAGGAATAGTGTAAAGCACTCTAAATCAGACCCAATACAATACAACCTTTATTCATCAAAATACCTCTTCCTATTTTTACATGCAATTCTAAAAAATCTTCCATAATAAAGATCATAAACAAAGGAAATCATGGATGTAGAGAAATGTCATCTGAAAAATAAACACACCATAATCATGCTAAGTTGTGCTTTTGTGCAGATTCTCAGTGTTTAATATGCCTAATATACACATGCAGTGTCACTCATGGCAGAAAAATAGCATAAATCATGGTACAAACCTCTCTTTGCTGCAAGGCAGCCTCCTTTCTGAAGAGGAAATCAGAACTCATGAAATTAGAAAACAAAATATGTATATTATGATATAACATAAACACGTCAGAACCATGAAGTTTGCCTGCTCAAAAGGCGTGCTTCTAAAGTTACACCTTCTCCAAGAGTAGCCACCTAAAGAAAAACATATAGCATGAGTCTATAGATGAACAAAGTCAAGAAAATGGAAAAAATCTGAAGTTTTCAAATATATCCCATTGTAGGAGAACAAATTAAGAATGACTAGCAGAAAAGAAGACCAATTACAAGAAATTGAAAGTAACCATAAATTATACTCCTGGAAAAAGAACTATTATGAACAAATGAGTGTAATCAATACCGTAGAAACAAACAAATTTCTTTTGTATGCTTGCTATTCCAAGAAAACTGAAATAACTGCAGTTTTGCACATGAGTTTGAAAACTGATCCATCCACAAAATAGGCAATGTAATAATGGTGCCTTCGAATTTATAGTTAATTTCTTTCTATATCTTAGCAAAAATTGTAGTGGCCAGAATGTTAGCATGTGCAATTACATAATTGATGGACAAAGGTTGGGAATATTATAGAATGCTTTAATTAACTTCTTGTTATTTGATGCACAATTTCATTAAAAGCAGGACAAGAAAATCTATGTGCATTTAATGGCAAGGAATTCAATACTAGTCCATATAGTGTGGCTAAAAACTGGAAGATTCACCTGTTTCTCAAGCTGTCGAGCCCTTGCTTCTGCTTCCTCACATCTCTCCTCTACAAGTCTCAACTGGCAAGGCACATATCATAATGAAGCCCAAAAAAATGCAATAGAATTATATTAATAAATATTACTCCCGAATTTTGATGCATTTCCGGGGAAATCCCATGAAAATCTTTTGAGGGATTAAGTGGTAATGCAACACCAACATCTGAATGACGGTGATCACTTTAATTATAACTGTTCCAGCAGACTTATATTGTTAAGAAATTAACTGAGTACTCCAAGGGACAAAAAAAAAGCACCAGATTTGATTTTCTACAAATCTAACTCTTTATACAACGTAATAGACAGAGAACATTGACAAGTTACATGAAAATGGAAATGGACTACAGAAATTATGGGATTCACCTTTTCAAGTAAACTTTCATTTTCCTCCTGTAGCATATCAAGCTGCAATGGAAACAGCACTCCAAATTACTAGAAAGCCCAAAATATTTCTCCTAAAATGGAAGGCTTCAGAAGTTGAATTTTGAAGCATATAACTTGAACAAATAAAAATCTGAAAAAATTATGAAAAGAAGCAAAGAAAAGAACATAGTTCCTTCAGTTATTTTTATCAAGGAGAGCTATAAAAATTTTAAAACGGCGGTAAGGAGCACAGCTTCATCAGCATAAAAAGTAAACATACCTCATCTTGCAGAGTAGAAGTAGAATTCTGACTCCCTCTTTCTTTTAAGTAGCTCATATTCCAAAGATCTACAGATAATCTGTTTAAACAACATATATTACTTTCAATATACATTTTTTTAAAATCATCCTAAGATCTGAGGATCTTCAGGCTAATATTTTATTGGTTGTGTGTAACATGCTAAGGAAAGGGCATGCAAATCTTACTGACAGGTAGTAAAAAAGCTTTTCAAGCTAAGTCAATTAAAATGAAATCATCAACTGACCATATATATCTGTTGAATGCTACCTCCAAAGCAAAACAGATTTCAATGTTGCCACAAATCAATCACTCATAACAAATACTTTATAGTCTTTATAATTAATGTTTAAAATTTCAAACTCCAGACAATACATCTTAAAAGAGTTACAAAGTTTTCACACTCCTGAAACAATATAACAAGAAAATGAGAGAAAGGTTATGGAGATGAAAATGAAATATCTCTTCAAAATGAAATATCTCTTCAAAATGAAATGGCAAAATTTTAGGGCTATAAAAGATACCTTTTATCTCTCCGCTCATTCAGGATCTCCGATGGATTTACAGTTGATGTGTGCTTGAGTGATATAGGCACACTAGCAGGAACCATAGGAACTGTCTTGACTTTTAAATTTGGATGACTGGCAACCATAAAACGAGCAGATGAAGGTTGTTCTACAGAATTTATTTGAGTTGACTGACCAGCTACTGCACTCTGTGTAGACAGGGGTTGTTCAATAGAATGGGACGGAGTTTTTTGTCCAGCTGGAGTGGAAAAAGCAGATAATGGTTGCTCTACAGTGTTGGAGTTCTTCCAAGCTGGAGCTGAGTGATCCAACAATGGTTGTTCCACTGAGTTCACAGATGAAGAAAATCGAGCACCAGATGCGGAACGTGAATATGGGGGTTGTTCTTGACTGGTACGAGCTGACTAATAGGAAAGACATAGGGTCATAAGTAAGAATTACAATCATAAGTAATATAAGCAATAAATTAATATATGGTCTCAATAACTTAGCATACTCAAGGCTTTCACCACAACAATCTTCAAGAATAATGGCAACCAATATCTAAAATTTGTTGGATCTTTTCAGAATAAAATGGAAACCCCTTTTGGGGTCCCTGGGGTGGAGCTAGGTGGATTGAGTGGTCTACTCAAATTTCAAAGAACCATTTGACACCACTAGAAAACTATTATGGCTCTGCCACTTTAGCCACAGCTAAATTTGTTAACAGGTCCTGTGCTGAATGTTTAACATCATTTAAAGAAAACTAATTGCAACTCAAGGAATTAACATGCATAATATTCAATAGCATTAGCATTACAATGAAAGCATAATGTTTTTATAAATGAAAAACAATATCAATAATAGCATCCACTTTGATGATATATAAATAAACAATTACCACATAGGATGGCAGTCTTGTCTTTCCACTAGCACGCCCAATGCTTGCCATGCCACCCAATGAACAATTATCATGTGAAGGATCATCCTCAGCATTGTCCTCATCACCTGGTCGCTCTGGCATTACCTGTTGTACACCCCTCTGAGCAGTGTTTTTGGTTTACATTTCATAATGCAGGTCAATGTAACACATGATTATGGTATCAAATATTACAAGAAAACCACAACCTTTTTTTATTGAAAAACTTTAGAGAGCTTACAGAGTTTCCAAATCTAAAGAATATAAAGACCACTAGCTCGTCCCTCCCTCTCTCCATCTCTCTCCTCTTGGTTCCTTTATCTATCCAAAGTTCGTGTTTTTGTAATTTCTCACTTTCAAGGGTATTGTTACCATGATCTTTTAGTGATTTCATGTAAATTTATCAGACCTTTTTGCTTGCAAGTGCTACATTAATGATTAAGTTACTCAACTTACAAGATTGTGACTTTTTTAAGTCCTTAAATTAAAATTGTGAAAACTCTTAAGATGAAAAAACAATGGAGTGCAACAATTTAACATCTTCTTAAGAAATAATAATTAACTCCCATTAAGACCAAGAGTTTGGATGAGGATGACTGACTTATTTGCTTATTTTTTAGCAAGTATGAATTTTCATCTTCAAATTTTGTCAAAACTATAATAATTGCATTAAGAGTTTTTCTTAAACCTCGCAAAGCAGGGTTAAGCAATCTAGTTCTTTAGAAAATGATCCTGTATGACAGGATAATGGGTAAAATAGAAACCAGAACATCTGAGTTTATGTTAAATTTTTGGCTTATTCATGCCGATTCTTAAGGTAATGAAACTAACCCAATTAAGTATGGTATTCATTTGAACCATGAAAATGCATTTCAGTATTTCAGCAGCACTTTAACCAATCACCAACAACAAAAAGGATTCTTTAAATTTGTAAGGTACTTTTAAATAGAGCTTGTAAAATAGGAATCCCCATATCATTTTGCCTACAGAAAAATGATCACACTCACAATATAACTTGTTCCTGATAAATCATTACTTCATATAGGTCAATGCCTTGGCTATCATATTCATAGTAAATAAATGATCACATGGTTACCATAGGAGAACGTGCACGCATTGATCTTCCTCCAGCTAGCCCAATGGTTGGTTTACCACTTACAAATAGATCGTCCTCGTCAGTATCCTCATCAGCCCGTTGTTGTGTCATCACTTGTGGCATGTGCTTTTGAACTGGGTTTTTTGTCTGGATTAAAAAATGAATCCCATTTAAGAAAACATTCTTTTGTAATTCCTGCCCTTGCATGCAACCATTAACTTCCCAAAGGAAAACTTTTGAACAGCATGAAAGGGTTGAAACATAATTGCCATATAAAAGTGTTAATTTTGGTAAAAAAATCTCTTAGATAAGTGTTATAAGTAAGTTTGTGGAAGCCAATTCATAATCTTAATTCTTATTTAACTCCCCCATTTATTCTAGTTTATATCTTTCATATCACTTTGCAATGATACCATGTACAATGCACAGAAAAACAATAAATATAAGATTCATGCTGGACGTCAAAGATCACATAACAACCATTCTTTTTCTATTTTTTGCAAGGCACATAACAACAAACTCAGTAATTAGCTAAAATAAAAATGTGATCGTCATGCATGGACATAAACATCTATCAAAAGGTAAATCTGGCTAGCAGCAACCATAACACTTACATGAATAATACTTATTTGCAGATATATACAACTATAGTCAAACTCTCTACAGAAAGTTACATAAGTACTATTTTTGAAGATTGATGCAAGGACATTTTTTTTTTTTTCTGATGCAGATGCAAGGAAAAATTAAAGGAAGGCTTTAAGATTTTAAGGTAACTTTGGCATAGGCACCTACACAATTGTAAAGTATGGGTTTTGAAGATCACTTATTTTATCTAAATACAATGACAATCCCATGCTTGAAACCCTTTTTCTTCCACTGAACTAGTTTATTAACAAACACAAGTAAAACACATACCACTAGTCCATAACACAATTGCATAAAGTGAGTCTAGGTGCTAGGTGGTGGCTGGTTCCTCAACTAGGCAGGTAGTAGTTTTGGGCGTTTGATCCGCCTAGGTTGCTTAGGTGTGATTTAAGCATTATTAGCCACAACAAAGCAGGCTTAGGCACGATTAGACACTAGGCAATTAGGGATTTTTAAGTGAAACTATATGTCATGTTGCAAGAAAAAAAGAAATAAAAAAAATCCAGCAAGAACTTTGGGTTTCATTTGCTTCACCAGATTGCATATATTCTTGTTCAGGAAGCAGAGACTAGTGCCTACCCCATTTGAACTTTTTATTGTTCTTACGTGACTTGTAAGACTTGAATGGGTTAACTTTTTACTTTCATGAATACCAATATGCTTGGTTTTGAACTTGTTTAAGTGTATGTGTGTCACTCGCTAGTAAATTATCTCAACTTCTCTATATAGATGAGCTTATGCTAATAACTGCAACATTTTTCTCTTTCTTTTTTTGGTATTCTTCTGACATACATTTTTTTTTTCAATTTTTTTTTCTGAGAAAAGACTAGTCAGGCAAAGCATATGCCACAGGGGCGAACTACTACTAGCATACACTCTAATTCAGGATATTACACACCTTATTTGAAGTACAATAGAATTTAACTTGGATCAAATAAACACCATCTCATTTAATAGCTAATTTATCAAGTCCAGCATATACTTTCATGCTTAACTGGCAAATTTCAAGCCAAAAATCCATATGATAAAAGACTATGCCTGCCAATCACTGAATTTTGAGTCCATAAGAAGTAACATTTGTGTCGTTAAAATTAACCCAACTTTCTATTTAAACTCATGCTTCACCAACCTTTACAAAATAAACACAACCCTGTATGAAACCAATTTTGTAATACATGATCAGATAGTTACCATAGGGGACCGTGGCCGCACTGCCCTTCCACTAAGCCCAATGCTTGCAGGGCCACTCACTAAAAGGTCATCCTCATCACAGTTCTCATCTGATTGCTGTTGGGCCATCACCAGAGGCATATGCTTTTGACCTATGTTTTTGGTCTGGTTTTCACAAAGACGTCCAAGTAAGAACATATGGTTTGCAATCTCAATGCTCTAGAAAGTAACTATAAACTTTCTTCCAACTTCAAAGCAACATTAAATGGCTTGAGATGCATGATAATACCCAAAATGAAAGTTAGTCCAAAGACAATGGAGAGGGAATGCTTTTTTAAATCATAACAAACTTTAAGGACTCAATTGGCACCTTTTGCAGTTGACCTAAACGAAAATAGTCCAAAGTTAAGGGAATTTCTCGTGCTTAACATAAAACTTATCAAAAAGAAAGCAACAGCTTTTGAGCCCTTTAAACATGGAACCTCACACCCATCCTTTGACATGATACTTCAAAGACTTAAAGGTAACTTCGTCATAGCAACCACATGCTTGTAAATTATGGTCCTCAAGATCACTTATTTTATCTAAATGCATTCCCATGCTCAAAACCTCACTTCTTCCACCGCACTAGTTCATTAGCAAACACCATTGAAGCCAAATTAGTCACAAGTCCTATCAACAATTGAATATGACCAATTGATACCATATAATCTTCTTGTTGTCATAACTTGTGAAACATTAGTAACAAGTTTCAAATAAATTGAGAACTCTAATATTTTTGTAACAAAATTCATCCAACCCAAATCATGTTTGCAAAAATAAATGCTCCTGGTTCAGTCCACAACATGCCTGTCAACATAGTCAAACCCAAATCCTTTGTCTTACTGAGTCTCACATTCCAAATACTACCATATTTACCTTTTCCAAAATCATTTATGCTCTTTTATTTGTTTCCTTCTAACAAATGGTGCATGAGAACACAAGTTCAATTCAGGTCCTTCTATTGTCATTTGCAAGAGATAAGAGGAGACTATTTCTTAAAAAAAAAAAAAAAAATTGTTGTGTAATCTAGATTGCATTAGACTACACACTTTACCATTGCATCGGGCTCTCCCCTAGAAAAGATGCAAATAAGGTTGCCAGCTTTATTTTTTTTTTATTTAAAAATATTAATTTTATCAATTTTTAAATAAAAATATTAACTTTTTAATTTTTTTTATTTAAAA